GACTACAAAGAGACCTGGACTGGCTGGACACGTAGTCCAACAACTGGCTCCTCGAATTTAACCCTGCCAAATGCAAAGTCATGAAGATCGGGGAAGGGCAAAGAAGACCGCAGAGTATAGGCTAGGCGGCCCAAGATTGCACACCTCACTCAAGAAGAAATATCTTGGGGAGAATATAATACCGAGCACGTCTCCGGAAGCACACATCAACCAGATAACTGCTGCAGAATATGGGCGCCTGGCAAACCTGAGAATAGCGTTCCGATACCTCAGTAAGGAATCGTTCAAGGCTATACACCGTGTACGTCAGGCCCATACTGGAGTATGCAGTACCTGGTCAAGCACGTCAATAAATTAGAGAAAGTGCAAAGGTTTGCAACAAGGCTGGTTCCAGAGCTAATGGAAAAGTCCTACGAAGAAAGGTTAAAGGAAATCGGCCTGACGACACTGGAGGACAAGAGGGTTAGGAGAGACATGATAATGACATACAAAATACTGCGAGGGAGAGGTGGGGTGGACAGAGACAGGATTTTCCAGTTTAGGGACCCAGAAACAAGGGGATCACAATTGGAAGACGAAGACTCAGATGAGTCAAAGAGATGTTAGAAGTATTTCCTTAGTCACAGAGTTGTCAGGAAGTGGAATAGTCTGGCAAGTGATGTAGTAGAGGCACGAACCATACATAGTTTTACGACAAGGTATGATGAAGCACATGGAGCAGGGAGAGAGAGGACCTAGTAGCGACCAGGGAAGAGGTGGGACCAGGAGTTGAGTCTCGACCCTTGCACCCACAATTAGGTGAGTACGATTAGGTGAGTACACACACACACACACACACACACACACACACACACACACACACACACACACACACACACACACACACACACACACACACGCACGCGCGCACGCACACACACACACATACACACACACACACACACACACGAAGACAATGAAGGAGACATGACATATGCAGAGACTCTAGCAGTCAACTACAGTGGCAGGGAACAGCTTAGCAGGGAAGGCAGTCCACTGAGCATAGGGGCTACAGCAAGGGCAGGGATTGAAGGCAGGAACGTTTCGATGAAAGAAACTAAAACACCTCAGAGGATGCAAAGAGAGACTCAGTGGGAGGAGGAGAGGGAGAGGTCAGTGTTTGTCTACGGGCTCTAAGAAGTCGAAGGGGAAACCTACGATGAAAGAAACCAGGGGGAGAAGAAAGCGATCGAAGGTATCATGAAAGCAATAGGTGAGGGAGACATGACCGAGGTGGTAAATTTTCGGAGAATTGGGTGGTTTGCAAGGGCAAGGAAACGGCCTGTCAAAGTAATCTTCAAGACAGAATCAGCTCGAACCAGGGTCCTGCAGGAGAAAGCACGACTGAGGGACAAACCAGAGTACCGGAGAGTGTACCTAGATCGCGACAGTACACAGGAGGAAAGGACGTCATTGAGAGAGAGCGGGTACAAAGACGAAAGGAGGAACGGGAGGCATTGATGAAGATGAGCAGAACCCAGACTCAGGTGGAAGGACAAATACACCATACAGAGACACCCGCAGAAGGACTCCAACCACAACAACCCCGAAGCAACTGAATAATCTCAACCAAAACCCACACACTGTTTCCTCTGCCCCCTCCCCCATATCACAAACTCCACCCCTACAGCAGCTCCCTACGGGCACTCTGCCCTCACTCCCCCCATCACAAAACCCCACCCACACCACAAACCCCCATAGACCCCCCTCCAGGGCTTCTGCTCCTCCAACCTCAATATTCTCCCAGGTCCACCATGATAGATAAGAAGCTGAAGGTGTGGTACACGAACGCAGATGGAATAGCAATCAAATATGAGGAGTGGCATGAAAGAATCAACGAGCAGTCACCAGACATCATAGCAGTCACAGAAATGAAACTCACTGAGACAATAACAGACGCATTCTTCCCACCGGGATATCAGATCCTGAGGAAAGACAGGAGGAGCAGAGGGGGAGGAGGGGTTGCACTGCTCATAAAAAACCGATGGGGTTTCGAGGAAATGAAAGACATGGATGGGATTGGGGAAAGGGACTACATAGTAGGTACAGTTCAATGTGGGGAACATAAGGTAGTCATTGCAGTGATGTATAATCCACCACAGAACTGCAGGAGGCCAAGAGAGGAATATGAAGAGAACAACAGAGCGATGGTGGACACACTGGCTGAGGTGACACGAAGAGCTCAATCGCGCAGAGCAAAGTTACTAGTTATGGGTGATTTCAACCACAGGGAGATTGATTGGGAAAGCCTGGAGCCTCATTGGGGTCCCGAAACATGGAGAGCCAAGATGATTGATGTGGTTCTAGAAAACCTCATGCATCAACACGTCAAGAACACTACCAGAGAGAGAGAGGGGAGGATAAACCAGCAAGAGTGGACCTTGTGTTCACCCTGAGTAGCTCAGACATAGAGGACATCACATATGAAAGGCCCCTTGGAGCTAGTGATCACGTAGTCCTGAGTTTTGATTACATAGTAGAGTTACAAGTGGAGAGAGTAACATGAGTCGAATGGGAAAAGCCAAACTATAAAAGGAGGGACTACACAAGTATGAGGAACTTCCTGCGGGAGGTTCAGTGGGACAGAGAACTGGTAGGAAAGTCAGTAAACGAAATGATGGAATATGTAACAACAAAATGCATGGAGGCACATGAAAGGTTTGTTCCCAAGGGCAACAGAAACAATGGGAAGACCAAAGCAAGTCCTTGGTTTACCCGAAGGTGCAGGGAGGCAAAAACTAACTGCATTAGAGAATGGAAGAGGTACATAAGGTAAAGGACCCAGGAAAACAAGGAGATCAGTCGAAGAGCCAGAAACGAATATGCACAGATAAGGAGGGAGGCCCAGCGACAGTACGAAAATGACATAGCATCGAAAGTCAAGTCTGACCCGAAACTGCTGTTTAGCCACATCAGGAGAAAGACAACAGTCAAAGACCAGGTGATCAGGCTGAGGAAAGTAGATGGGGAACTCACAAGAAACGATCAAGAGGTATGCGAGGTGCTCAACACAAGATTTAAGGAAGTATTCACAGTGGAGAAAGCAAGGATTCTGGGAAGACAGGACAGAGGGGGGCAACAACAGGGAATAGACCAACAAGTGCTGGATGACATATACACAACTGAGGAGGAGGTAGAGAAGCTGCTAAGTTACTTTGATGCCTCAAACGCAATGGGACCGGACATCTCCCCGTGGGTCCTCAGAGAGGGAGCAGAAATACTGTGTGCCACTAACCACAATCTTCAACACATCCCTTGAAACTGGGCAACTACTTGAGGTATGGAAGACAGCAAATGTAGTCCCCATATTTAAAAAAGGAGACAGAAAAGAGGTACTAAATTACAGACCAGTGTCACTGACGTGTATAGTATGCAAAGTCATAGAGAAGATTATCAGGAGGAGAGTGGTGAAGCACCTGGAACGGAACAGGATTGTAAACGACAACCAGCACGGATTCATGGAAGGCAAATCCTGTGTCACAAACCTTCTGGAGTTTTATGACAAAGTTACAGAAGTAAGACACGAGAGAGAGGGGCGGGTTGATTATAATTTCTTGGACTGCAAGAAGGCCTTCGACACAGTTCCTCACAAAAGATTAGTGCAGAAACTAGAGAATCAGTCGCGTATAACAGGAAGGGCACTGCAGTGGATCAGAGAATACCTGACAGGGAGGCAACAACGAGTAATGGTACGTGATGAGGTATCACAGTAGGCACCTGTGACTAACGGGGTCCCACAGGGGTCGGTCCTAGGACCAGTGCTATTTTTGGTATATGTGAATGAGATGATGGAAGGGATACACTCAGAGGTGTCCCTGTTTGCAGATGATGTAAAGTTAATGAGGATAATTACATCAGATGAGGATCAGGCAGAACTTCAAAGAGACCTGGACAGACTGCACACGTGGTCCAGCAACTGGCTTCTCGAATTCAATCCTGCCAAGTGCAAAGTCATGAAGATCGGAGAAGGGCAAAGAAGACCGCAGACAGAGTATAGGCTAGGTGGTCAAAGACTGCAAACCTCGCTCAAGGAGAAAGATCTTGGGGTGACCATAACACCAAGCACGTCTCCGGAGGCACACATCAACCAGATAACTGCTGCAGCATATGGGCGCCTGGCAAACCTGAGAATAGCGTTCCGATATCTTTGTAAGGAATCGTTCAAGACAATGTACACTGTGTACGTCAGGCCCATACAGGTGTATGCATCACTAGTTTGGAACCCACACTTGGTCAAGCACGTCAAGAAATTAGAGAAAGTACAAAGGTTTGCAACAAGGCTAGTTCCGGAGCTCAGGGGAATGTCCTACGAAGAAAGGTTGAGGGAAATCGGACTGACGACACTGGAGGACAGGAGGGTCAGGGGAGACATGAAAGCGACATACAAAATACTGCGTGGAATAGATAAGGTGGATAGAGACAGGATGTTCCAGAGAGGGGACACAGAAACAAGAGGTCACAATTGGAAGCTGAAGACTCAGAAGAGTCAGAGGGATGTAAGGAAGTATTTCTTCAGCAATAGAGTAGTCATGAAGTGAAATAGCCTAGCAAGTGATGTAGTGGAGGCAGGAACCATACATAGCATTAAGACGAGGTATGACAAAGTTCAGGAAGCAGAGAGAGAGAGAGGACCTAGTAGCGATCTTTGAAGAGGCAGGGCCAGGAGCTGAGTCTCGACCCCTGCAACCACAATTAGGTGAGTACAAATAGGTGAGTACACACACACACACACACACACACACACACACACACACACACACACACCGTCACACAAACAGGCCAAGTATCTTAGTGACAATTGCTTTGGACAAAATGGGAATTAACAAACGCATTGAACACCAGGAACTTGCTACCAAAACAATGGGTTTTCCCACATCAGGGGAAGAAGCCCACCGGAAGGAAGCCTCAAGAAAGGGGAAACACACCAGTTGAGGAAGTCTCAAGGAGTATGGAGCACCCACCTGAGGGAAGCACTGGAGAAGAGCCTGTGAAGCATGCCTTGGCGGGGCACTCCTGCAGGGACAGGCTTGAGGCAGGGCAGTGGGCGGGGTTGGGGAGGCAGGCTCTTGGCGTGACGAGGAAGACCTTTCCTCTGGAACTGAGACGTTTTACGGCCGAAGGCAGGAGCACTTGATTTGATCCTGTGGGAGGAAGGTGTGGGCGTTAAGGAAGCAAAGAGAAGAAGGTGTGAATGTTTAGTCAGATGTAGGGAGGAAAGTGTGTGTGATATGTAGGCGTGGGTGTTATATAGACATGTATGCCTATATAAATGTAAAATGTAAATGTTAGGTGGGTAAAACCCACACAGTAGCTCTGAATACTCAAGGAGTTACTGAAAATTTGTGGTGAAAAAAAAAAAATTTAGAAAATAAATAGGAATATATCTCCGTTTGTAAGGGTTATCGTTGTTGTTATGTTTATGTTCGCTGAGTAATGTTTACTTCCTGATTCTTTACTTTTGTGTGATTCCTAGAGGTGTTTACCTTCTAGGAATAACACAGCATGGCGCCTCCCAGTCACAACAGTGTAGTATCCCAGATGATCCAGTCTTGTTAGTCACACTTTTTACTATTCGTTTTCTGTTATTATAAAGTCATTGGAAAACAATGATACACAGAATTCATTTCCTTTTGGCATGTGTGAACAGGTGTAAATTATATTGATTGACTTTTTTTCTTTTGGCACTCCGGCTGTCTCCCACCGAGGTAGGGTGACCCGACAAAGAAAAAAAAACGACTTCAGTGTCACTCATTTAAGCACTGTCTTGCCAGACGAGTGCTGTCATTACAGTCAGACATCCTTTGAAACCTCAGTATCTCCACCAGTCCTTCACAGTGCAGGCATTGAACTTCTTACTTCCAGAACTCAAAGCCTGCTAACCAACTTCCCTGAATCCCTTCATAAATGTAACCTTGCTCACTCTCCAACAACACATCAAATTATAAAACCCACCTGTTGTCACTCCCAACACGCTCACACAAGCCTGTTGGATGTCCAAGTCCCTAGCACTCAAAACCTTCTTTTTAAAGAAAATTTGAGCACACACACATACAATAACACTGTAATTACTTTAATATGAATTTCGTTTGGCTTACTTGGGGTTTGAAGCCTATTCAACTGAACATGGGTAATTAGCAAATAACATTGAATATAAAGAATAGGTTTGTATTAAAGTGGGAAATAAATTGTATGATAGCTAAATTTTGCTTAAAAAATCCTTCAAGGAGGAGCAAAGATGTTGGTGAAGGGCTCTTGATCCAAGTAACTGAAGCTGACCTTGCCTTTCAGGGGGGATGATGCCCAGTTACCTCCCACTCCACAGGCAATATATAACACCTAAGATATGCGATTCCCTCGTGAAGATGATAATAACTTGAAGAGGCTGTGGGATAATGCCAGACAGTTATCTTGTATCATTCACCTGAAGAGCTGTAGCTTGGCTGAGTGTGAGTAGTGCAGGGAGTGCCTGGAGAGCGGTGGTGTCAGCTCTGGCAGGTACTGGCACTCATCCCCCGGCAGGAGGGCGTTGTGCGAGACGTGACGATTAACACTGTACTGACGCATCAGTCTCCTGCAGCTGCTGCTGCAGCTACTGCCGGGGTCTGGACCGTAGTCTTCCTCATCCTCCTCTTCTTCCTTATTCTGTATCGTCGAGAAGACAAAGGAAGGGGGAAAAGGAGGAGGGAAAGAAAATAAAAGAGATAAGCGAGAAGATGAGACAGAAAAAAAAGGGTAAGAAAGAGCAAGAATTGGAGATTTTTCATTAAAGATATTTTTATGATAAATAAAATGATGTCAAACGTCGTTTACACAGGTAGAAAATATATAAATTTTAAGGTAGACACATCGCCTGAAAGTTCCTTTATATGAAAAGATCCTTACGGGTATAGCGCTTGGTTATAATTATAATAATAATAATAATAATAATAATAATAATAATAATAATAATAATAATAATAATAATTATAATAATAATAATAATAATAATAATAATTATAATAATAATATAATAATTATAATAATAATAATAATAATAATAATAATAATAATAATAATAATAATAATAAGTAATGAAGCAAATATGAAAAGATCATAATTCAGTACTGTAAAAAAATACAAAACTCTTGTTTACGAATGTAATTCAAAAATAATATGTGAAAAATAAATTATTTGCCTACAAGTGAAAAGTTATTGAATGTTTATTATTGATAATGAGGCTCCACATTATTATTATTATTATAATCAAGGGGGAAGCGCTAAACCCGGAGGATTATACAGCGCCTGGGGGGGGGGATGTGGAAGGCATTCAGGCTTAATTCGGGGAACTGGAGCACAGATCCAATTCCCTAAATCAAGAGCCCCTCACCAACATCAAGGAACCTTCCTTGAGGAGATGAGGCTCCACAGAATATGTAAACAAAGATATTTACATTAGAGCAGTCTAATAATAATTTCGTCATAATCTACAAGTTACTTATTCTCTCTCTCTCTCTCTCTCTCTCTCTCTCTCTCTCTCTCTCTCTCTCTCTCTCTCTCTCTCTCTCTCTCTCTTCTCTCTCTCTCTCTCTCTCTCTCTCTCTCTCTCTCTCACCTCTTCACTCCTGCGAAGGTTCCTAAGGAAAGAGGATCTCTGCATAGAGATCCTAGTGACCAGCCTAAGGAGAGTCCAGCGTTCCCTAGCGGTGCGTCCTTCCTGAAGTCCCTGTGGGTCCCGAGGGGCTAGACGTCCCTCGCTCACTTCCCACTGCTTCCACAGCTCAGGGGCAGCCAGAGATACCTCCGAAGGGCTGCCCTGAAGCACGATCCTTCCACCTTCCAGATAAATGATCTGATGATGAAGACAAAATATAAGTATGCATATTGCTGAATTTATTTTGCTTTTTTGGGGCACACTGCCTTGGCAGGAGACGTTGAAAGTTAAATAAATAACTAAATAAATTAACATTATCTCTGAGTCTACAGCAGGACTCGAACCTGCACATTCTGTATCAAAGTACACAGCACTTTCGCCACTCAGCCATCTGAGATCTGGCTGAGTGGCGAAAGTACTGTGTACCTTGATGCGGAGTATGCAGGTTCGAATCCTGCTGTGGAGTGAGAGATAATGTTTTGCTGAAAGTAGTATTGAAACATTTACCAAACTGTAGACAGCCAGAATAGAGAGGGAGGGGTGGGTAGATTGCGTTTTCTTGGTCTGTAAGAAGGCTTTTGACAGAGTTCCACACAAGAGATTAGTACAAAAATTGGAGGACCAGGCAAGGTTAAAACAGAGGGACTGCAATGGATCAGAGAATACCTGTCAGGAAGAAAACAGCGAGTCATGGCACGTGGCGAATGTGACGAACGGGGTTCCAAAGGGGTCAGTTCTAGGACCGGTGCTGTTTCTTGTATTTTTGAACATGACAGAATGAATAGACTCAGAAATGTCCCTATTTGCAGATGATGTGAAGTTGATGAGAAGAATTCAGTCGGATGAGGAACAGGCAAAACTACAAAATGATCTGCACAGGCTACAGGTCTGGTCCAGAAACTGGCTCCTGGAATTCAACCCAACCAAGTTCAAAGTCATGAAGATTGGTGAAGGGCAAAGAAGACTGCAGACGGAGTACAGTCTAGGGGGGCCAGTGACTACAAACCTCACTGAAGGAAAAGGATCTTGGGGTGAATATAACACCGGGCACATTTCCTGAGGTACATATCAACCAAATAACTGTTGCAGCTTACGGGCGCCTAGCAAACCTAAGAACAGCATTCCGACATCTCAATAGGGAATCGTTCAGGAAGCCTGTACACCGTGTACGTTAGGCCTACATTCGAGTATACAGCACCAGTTTGGAATCCACATCTAGCCAAGCACGTAAGGAAGCTAGAGAAAGTGCAAAGGCTGACAGCAAGACTAGTCCTGGGACTTAAGGGGGGGTATGTCCTACGAGGAGAGGTTAAGGGAAATCGACCTGACGACACTGGAGAACAGGAGAGATAAGGGATATATGATAAAGACATACAATATTGAGGGGAATCGACAAGGTGGACAGAGACAGAATGTTTTAGAGATGGGACACAGCAACAACGGGTCCCAGTTGAAAGTTGAGGGCTCAGATGAATCACAGGGATGTTATAAAGTATTTCTTCAGTCACGAGTTGTCAGGAAGTGGAATAGTCTGGGAAGTGATGTAGTGGAGGGAGGATCCATACATAGCTTTAGGAAGAGGTATTATAAAGCTCATGGAGCAGGAAGAGTGACCTAGTAGTGGGCAGAGAAGAGGCGGGGCCAGGAGCTGTGAATCGACCCCTGCAACCACTACTAGGTGAGTACACACACAAACACACACACACACACACACGCACACACACACACACACACACACACACACACACACACACACACACACACAACACACACACACACACATCACACACACAACATATATATAAATATAATATATATAATTTTTTATATATATATATAATATATATATTTTATATATATATATATATATTTATTATATTAACACACTGGCTGATTCCCACCAAGGCAGGGTGGCCCGAAAAAGAAAAACTTTCACCATCATTCACTCCATCACTGTCTTGCCAGAAGGGTGCTTTACACTACAGTTTTTAAACTGCAACATTAACACCCCTCCTTCAGAGTGCAGACACTGTACTTCCCATCTCCAGGACTCAAGTCCAGCCTGCCGGTTTCCCTGAATCCCTTCATAAATGTTACTTTGCTCACACTCCAACAGCATGTCAAGTATTAAAATCCATTTGTCTCCATTCAGTACTATCAAACACGCTCACGCATGCCCGCTGGAAGTCCAAGCCCCTCGCACACAAAACCTTCTTTACCCCCTCCCTCCAACCTTTCCCAGGCCGACCCCTACCCCGCCTTCCTTCCACTACAGACTGATACACTCTTGAAGTAATTCTGTTTCGCTCCATTCTCTCTACATGTCCGAACCACCTCAACAACCCTTCCTCAGCCCTCTGGACAACAGTTTTGGCAATCCCGCACCTCCTCCTAACTTCCAAACTATGAATTCTCTGCATTATATTCACACCACATATTGCCCTCAGACATGACATCTCCACTGCCTCCAGCCTTCTCCTCGCTGCAACATTCATCACCCATGCTTCACAACCATGCAGGAGCGTTGGTAAAACTATACTCTCATACATTCCCCTCTTTGCCTCCAAGGACAAAGTTATTTGTCTCCACAGACTCCTAAGTGCACCGCTCACCCTTTTCCCCTCATCAATTCTATGATTCATCTCATCTTTCATAGACCCATCTGCTGACACGTCCACTCCCAAATATCTGAATACATTCACCTCCTCCATACTCTCTCCCTCCAATCTGATATCCAATCTTTCATCACCTAATCTTTTTGTTATCCTCATAACCTTACTCTTTCCTGTATTCACTTTCAATTTTCTTGTTTTACACACCCTACAAAATTCATCCAGCAACCTCTGCAACTTCTCTTCAGAATCTCCCAAAAGCACAGTGTCATCAGCAAAGAGCAACTGTGACAACTCCCACTTTATGTGTGATTCTTTATCTTTTAACTCCACACTTCTTGCCAAGACCCTCGCATTTATTTCTCTTACAACCCCATCTATAAATATATTGAACAACCACGGTGACATCACACATCCTTGTCTAAGGCCTACTTTTACTGGGAAATAATCTCCCTCTTTCCTACATACTCTAACTTGAGCCTCACTATCCTCGTAAAAACTCTTCACTGCTTTCAGTAACCTACCTCCTACACCATACACCTGCAACATCTGCCACATTGCCCCCCTATCCACCCTGTCATACGCCTTTTCCAAATCCAAAAATGCCACAAAAACCTCTTTAGCCCTATCTAAATACCGTTCACTTATATGTTTCACTGTAAACACCTGGTCCACACACCCCCTACCTTTCCTAAAGCCTCCTTGTTCATCTGCTATCCTATTCTCCGTCTTACTCTTAATTCTTTCAATAACAACTCTACCATACACTTTACCAGGTATACTCAACAAACTTATCCCCCTATAATTTTTGCACAGGAACAAAGGAACTATGCATGCTCTCTGCCAATCCCTAGGTACCTTACCTTCTTCCATACATTTATTAAATAATAGCACCAACCACTCCAAAACTATATCCCCACCTACTTTTAACATTTCTATCTTTATCCCATCAATCCCGGCTGCCTTACCCCCTTTCATTCTACCTACTGCCTCACGAACTTCCCCCACACTCACAACTGGCTCTTCCTCACTTCTACAAGATGTTATTCCTCCTTGCCCTATACACAAAATCACAGCTTCCCTATCTTCATCAACATTTAACAATTCCTCAAAATATTCCCTCCATCTTCGCAATACCTCTAACTCTCCATTTAATAACTCTCCTCTCCTATTTTTAACAGATAAATTCATTTGTTCTCTATGCTTCCTTAACTTGTTAATCTCACTCCAAAACTTTTTCTTATTTTCAACAAAATTTGTTGATAACGTCTCACCCACTCTCTCATTTGCTCTCTTTTTACATTGCTTCACCACTCTCTTAACCTCTCTCTTTTTCTCCATATACTCTTCCCTCCTTGCATCACTTCTACTTTGTAAAAACTTCTCATATGCCAACTTTTTCTCCCTTACTACTCTCTTTACATTATCATTCCACCAATAGCTCCTCTTCCCTCCCGCACCCACCTTCCTGTAACCACAAACTTCTGCTGAACACTCTAACACTACATTTTTAAACCTACTCCATACCTCTTCGACCCCATTGCCTATACTCTCATTAGCCCATCTATCCTCCAATAGATGTTTATATCTTACCCTAACTGCCTCCTCTTTTAGTTTATATACCTTCACGTCTCTCTTACCTGATGCTTCTATTCTCCTTGTATCCCATCTACCTTTTACTCTCAGTGTAGCTACAACTGAAAAGTTATCTGATATATCTGTGGCCCCTCTATAAACATGTACATCCTGAAGTCTACTCAACATTCTTTTATCCACCAATACATAATCCAACAAACTATTGTCATTTCGCCCTACATCATATCTTGTATACTTATTTATCCTCTTTTTCTTAAAATATGTATTACCTATAACTAAACCCCTTTCTATACAAAGTTCAATCAAAGGGCTCCCATTATCATTTACACCTGGCACCCCAAACTTACCTACCACACCCTCTCTAAAAGTTTCTCCTACTTTAGCATTCAGGTCCCCTACCACAATTACTCTCTCACTTGGTTCAAAGGTTCCTATACATTCACTTAACATCTCCCAAAATCTCTCTCTCTCCTCTACATTCCTCTCTTCTCCAGGTGCATACACGCTTATTGTGACCCACTTTTCGCATCCAACCTTTACTTTAATCCACATAATCCTTGAATTTACACATTCATATTCTCTTTTCTCCTTCCATAACTGATCCTTCAACATTACTGCTACCCCTTCCTTAGCTCTAACTCTCTCAGATACTCCAGATTTAATCCCATTTATTTCCCCCACGAAACTCCCTACCCCTTCAGCTTCGTTTCGCTTAGGGCCAGGACATCCAACTTCTTTTCATTCATAACATCAGCAATCATCTGTTTCTTGTCATCTGCACTACATCCACGCACATTTAAGCATCCCAGTTTTATAAAGTTTTTCTTCTTCTCTTTTTTAGTAAATGTCTACAGGAGAAGGGGTTACTAGCCATTGCTCCCGGCATTTCAGTCGCCTCATACGACACGCATGGCTTACGGGGAAAGATTCTTTTCCACTTCCCCATGGACATAGAAGAAATAAGAGAACAAGAGCTATTTAGAAAAAGGAGAAAACCTAGATGTATATATATAATATATATATATATATATATATATATATATATATATATATATATATATATATATATATATATATATATATATGCATGTGCGTGTCTGTGAAGTGTGACCAAAGTGTAAGTAGGAGTAGCAAGATATTCCTGTTATCTAGCGTGTTTATGAGACAGAAAAAGACACCAGCAATCCTACCATCATGTAAAACAGTTACAGGTTTCTGTTTCACAGTCATCTGGCAGGATGGTAGTACTTCCCTGGGTGGTTGCTGTCTACCAACCTACTACCTATATATATATATATGAAAAACAAACAATCGCAGACAGGCGATCTTAACAATGCAAGACAGCCCTCGGGGTGGTGAAAATCTTCAGCTCAAGTACTTTCATACTTCTCAGTGCATCATCAGGAGCTGTGCAATGTTGCAAGGGCAACAACAGGAGAAATAGGGTAACTTTTCAGAGTATGGAAGTGCGGGGGCACCAGCAAGTCTCTGTTTTGCTGGTGCCACCGCACTAACGTACTTTGAAAAGTTACCTTATTTCTCCTGTTGTTGCCCTTGCAACATTGCACAGCTCCTGATGACGCACTGAGAAGTGTGAAAGTGCTTAAGCTAAAGATTTCCACCCCTGTGGCTTGATTTACACACACACACACAAACATATATATATATATATATTATATATATATATATATATATATATATATATATATATATATATATATATATATATATATATATATGTCAATAACAACACTGCGACTAGTCAAGTAGTCGACCCCATGCTGCTATGGCCTGCCTCATAGTGGGCGAGAGCTCATGACTAGTCACAGTGTTGTTTTTGATCAATACCACTTGTTCATGGGTACAATAATATAAAATACTGCTCGTTGTACTAGTACACCAAACAGTGACTAGAATGAAATTAGCCTAGAGTCATCCACACCATCGTGTGTCCTTGGGCAGCGAGTACAACATCCAGTTCTGCTGGATGCGCTACTCTTAAGGACTGTGTGGTCCCGTGGATTAAGGCGTCATGAGTTTTCGCCCACCATGAGGCAGGCCAAAGCAGCATGGGATCGACTCCTTGACTAGTCGCAGTGTTGTTATATATGTGTGTGTATATATATATATATATATATATATATATATATATATATATATATATATATATATATATATATATATATATATATATTATGTATGTATGTATTTGCAATAAGATCACAGTAAACAGGTGATTTCAGAATATGCAAAACAACCACTGAGTGTCGCCCACTGAGTGTCGCCCATTCCTCCAGGTGCTGAATGATCCTAATGGGTTTAGCGATCATTCCCTCCCACGTAAATGTAATAATAATTTGTGTGAAGCTGAGCCTATGTGGATCCTTCAACGCAGGGATTGTTGGAGACTCCATCCTCTGTCCTCGTGAGTGTTTCAGTATAAGGATTCGTGGAGACTAAATCCTTTGTTCATGTAATTTATTAAGTGCAAGAAATAATGGAGGCTTGATCCTCCGTCCGCTAACACCATGATACACACAGCCAGGCTTGCCACACCAAAAACACTAACTCCTGAGAGAAGGAAGGTGCGTGAAGGCTCCTGCAATTAGGCGGTGAATATTCGAAAAATGTCGAGTGTGAAGATTGCTGAGTGTATAATGTAATCTGACTGAGGAATATATTATGCGCAAGGAATGTAGAATACATGAGCAACGCAGAGTGTATAAGGAACGTAGAGTGCATGAAAAACGTAGAGGGCATGAGGAACGTAGAGTGCATGAGGAACGTACAGAGCATGAGGAACGAACAGTGCATGAGGAACGTAGATTGATGAGGAACGTAGAGTGCATGAGGAGCTTAATAATACTTGATAAACACAGAGTGTGAGGGGGAAACTAAGAGTGCAGAGAAGTGTTGTTGTTGTAGGTTTGCCGGTACTTTTGGCCCGGGTCTTCTCCAGATGGCGACCCGGCGGTGGCCTCCCGAGCGGGGGGTGTCGTTCATCTTTCTTATGTATTCTTTCTTGGGGCCCTCCGGTTGGAGGGTGACTTCTGTCTTGCGGTGACTCCAAAAGTGGGAAGTGTCTTCTCGTTTAGCATCTTCAGCAGCATAGGAGGGCGGAGGCAGCAATTACAGGGTTCGTTTCGGAGCTACACCCCAGCTTTAGCAGGAAGCAAAGTGCTGGGAAAACTTGTCTTCGCGGTGATTGATCACTGACAGTCCTACCACTTCTTCGCCAGCAAGAGCTGGCAAGGAAGTGGTAGATGCAGCTTGCGTGGCTTGAAGAATCTTGGTAGTGTCTGCTTGAAGCTTGGTAATAGCAGCATATGTAGTCGCTTGTGCAGTGTTTTTTTTTTTGTTGTTGTTGTTAGAGTTGTTTATTAAGTATATCTCGTCTGATTGGGCACTTGGCAGCAAGAGTATAGTGATCATTCTTGCAGTTCAAGCATTTAGGTGGAGAGGCAGTAGTGCACGTCTTGAAGTCATGAGCTTCTTGGCCGCAGGTGGAGCAGAACTTCTTATTCTTGGCAGGGCAGTCTTTGGTGGTATGTAGGTATGAGTAACAGTTGGAACACTGTGGAATTTGATGGAATTTTTCTGCTTCGATGAAGGCTGGATTGATGTGGAAGTAGTGAATAGCCAGTCCCTCAGCGAGAACCTCTGGCTGCCTTGTTGACATCACTGAAGGTGACCTTCAGCATGGAGGAGGCATTGGGTATTTTGGTAATGAATTCCACCTTGGTCCAAGGGTTCTGTGCTTCAATGGACGACTTGATTTCTTCGGTTGCCTGGGCAGTGATGAGCCTGTCGAGTATCTTGAGGAACACAGTTCTCCTGGCCCTCAGAGCTGGGGAAGTCAAGACAATAAATCCCTGATCTCGTAGAGTGGTTGTAGCAGTGGTAGTAATGAGTTTTTCAGCCTCGGTGTCGTCAGTACAGACGACAATGAAGGCCTCTTTGAGCGACAGAATCGCATTAAACTTGACTTGCAAACTGCCAATGACACAGTCATTGACTGTCCCACTCTCTGGTTTGATCTTTACCCTGTTCGAGAAGTGCATCGTGGAGTGTGGTCTACGTCTGCTGTGAAGCAATGCTGTCGTGATATATGTACGTACCGTGACAGAGAAGTATAGACACGAGGATCTTACAACAGTGTGTACATGAGCTTACCTTGTGTGCGCGTCGTGTAAGGTGCGTGAGGTGAGTGGCCAGAATGACTGTCCGACGTCTCCGTAGCAGCAGCTGTACGATGCCTTCATCCCACACCTGCGCCCCGACGCCAGCGTCCAGGGCAGAGAAAGGCGCATCCTGCAGGGCACAGGAACAACTATTACCACTATCAAAAGCGCTAAACCCTTAGGTGTTCCTACGGTACCTAGGGAATAGGAGGCAATCAAGAAGCCTTGAACAGAATCAAAGTATAGGAAGAAGCTGTGAGATTTTAAGAGTATTTTAAGCTCTGAGATCACTCAGCGCTTCTCACAATAAAAATATTGATACATAGCGCCACACACACACACACACACACACACACACACACACACAACACACACACACACACACACACACACACACACACACACACACACACACACACACACACAAACAAACACACAACAAAATGCAAAGAAGCAGAGGAGAGGTTTGTTCCCACGTGAAACAGAAATAATGGGAAGACCAGAACGAGCCATTGGTTTACCCAAAGGTGTAGGGAGGCATAAACTAAGTGCGCCAGAGAATGGAAAAAGTACAGAAGACGAAGGACCCAGGAAAGATAAAGAGATTAGTCGAAGAGCCAGAAACGAGTATGCACAGATAAGGAGGGAGGCCCAGCAACAATATGAAAATGACATAGCGCTGAAAATCAAAACTGACCCGAAGCTGTTTTATAGTCACATCAGGAGGAAGACAACAGTCAACCAGGTAATCAGGCTAAGGAACGAAGGTTGGGAGCTTACAAGAAACGACCAACAAGTATGTGAGGAGATCAACATGAGATTTAAGGAAGAATTTACACTAGAGACAAAAAGGACTCCAGGAAGTCAGAACAGGAGGGTACACCAACAAAGGATATACCAGCAAGTACTGGATGAGATACACGCAACCGAGGAGTAGGTGAAAAAGCTGCTAAACGAAGTTGATACCTGAAAGGCAGCGGGACCAGATATCTCTCCATGGGTCCTTAGAGAGGGAGCAGAGATGCTGTGTGTGCCGCTAACAACAATTTTCAACATATCCATTGCAAGTGGGCAAATACCTGAGGTATGGAAGGCGGCAAATGTAGTCCCCATTTTTAAGAAAGGAGACAGACGTGAGGCACGAAACTACAGACCAGTGTCACTGACATGTACAGTATGGAAAGTCAGGGAGAAATTTACCAGGAGGAGAGTGGTAGAGCACCTAAAACGGAATAAGCTTATATACGGCAACCAGCACGGAGTGAGAGGAAGGAAAATCCTTTGTCACAAACCTACTGGAGTGTTATGACAAGGTAGCCGCAGTAAGAAACGAGAGAAAGGGGTGGGTAGACTGCATTTTCTTGGACTGCAAGAAGACCTTCGACACAGTTCCTCACAAGAGATTAGTGCAAAAGCTAGAGGATCAGGCACCCATAACAGGGAGGGCACTGCAATGGATCACAGAAGACCTGACAGGGAGGCAACGAGTCATGGTACGTGACGAGGTGTCAGAGTGGGCGCCTGTGACCAGCGGGGTCCCACAGGGGTCAGTCCTAGGACCAGTGCTCTTTTTAGGTATGTGTGAATAACATGATGGAAGGGATAGACTCAGAAGTGTTCCTGTCTGCAGATGATGTGAAGCTATTGAGGAGAATTAGATCGGATGAGGATCAGGAGGGAGGACTACAAAGAGACATGGACAGGCTGCAAGCTTGGTCCAACAACTGGTTCCTCAAATTTAACCCCGCCAAATGTAAAGTAATGAAGATCAGGGAAGGGCAAAGAAGACCGCAGACAGAGTATGGGCTAGGTGGCCAAAGACTGCAAACCTCACTCAAGGAAAAGGATCTTGGGTTGAGTATAATCCCGAGCACATCTCCTGACGTGCATATCAACCAGATAACCGCTGCAGCGTATGGGTGCCTGACGAACCTGAGAATAGTGTTCCGATACCTCAGTAAGGAATCATTTAAGACTTTGTACACCGTGCACGTCAGGCCCATACAGGAGTATGCAGCACCATTTCGGAACCCACACCTGGTCAGGCATGTCAAGAAATTAGATAAAGTGCAAAGGTTTGCAACAAGAATGGTTCCAGAGCTAAGGGGAATGTCCTACGAAGAAAGGTTAAGGGAAATCGGCCTGACGACGCTGGAGGACAGGAGGGTCAGGGGATACATGATAACAACATACAAGATACTCCGAGGAATTGACAAGATGGACAGATGCAGGATGTTCTAGAGATGGGACGGAGAAACAAGGGGTCACAATTGAAAACTGAAGACTCAGATGAGTCAAAGGGATATTAGGAAGTATTTCCTTAGTCATAGAGTTGTCAGAAAGTGGCACAGTCTGGCATGCGACGTAGTGGAGGCAGGAACCATACATAGTTTTAAGACGAGGTATGATAAAGCTCATGGAGCAGGGAGGGAGAAGACCTAGTAGCGACCAATCAAGAGGCGGGGCCAGGAGCTATGAATCGACCCCTGCAATCACAAATAGGTGAGTATAAATAGGTGAATACACACACACTAGTAAAGAGGCTGGGCCAAGAGCTGTGATTTTGATCACTGTAACCAGAAATAGGTGAGTACACACACACACACACACACACACACACACACACACGCACAGGGCCAGGAGCTCGGACTCGACCCCCGCAACCTCAACTAGGTGAGTACTAGGTGAGTACACACACACACACACGTGCACGTATGATGAAGATAAAACAAAGCATCAAAATAATAACGGCTTCCACAAACACAACAGAAACAAACAATGTGCAGTAGTGCTGTCAGGATTTATTCTGGGGAGAAAATGAGGCCAAAAATTCATAAGATGGGAAAAAAAAGGAATCGTCTTTAAAGATATATGATTTTTGGTATATAAGTGAAATTTCTTAAATTATCGTGCTTTCGTGGTCACTGGTCAATAATGTAAAATCTAGCCATTAGTTGAAAAATGAAAATAAGCAGTAATTGCGTCTGGGAGTAAAAAATACTTTGTAAAAACTGAGAGGAAATATGTGTTGAAACTTGAGTACATTCTTTGTCACTGTCAGTGAACTGATCTCAGCAAAATTTAAGTGGGTCTATCTGGTCTCTAATGTTACTTCACTATATCTGAAAGAAAATTCTCCATAATTGTGCCACTGATATGTCAGGTTAAATTAACAAGCATTACTGAGCCCTAATTAAATTGTTAGCATCGAAGGACTCAACTAAAACTCCCAGATATTGTAAGAGCTCTTAACCTCCTTCACCCAGATGATGGGGTATTGGAGGAATTAGTATGGGTAGTTTAGTAGTCACTGTGTGTACTGGGACAACAAAAGTCTATTGACAGGTTTCTGTGGGTTGGCTAGTAGCCGGGGCTACTTGGTATCAACCCCTTCAAAGAGTACCTTGATGGTGGTAAAATGGTATTGACGAAAGGAACTGGAGCTCATTCGCCTTCCTTTGATTATACCTGGTGTTACTTATACCTCTAATCTGCGGGTTAGTTATGAGCTACGATGAAGGAACACTAGTAGAACCCACAGATAAGGACCCAGAAGGGGTGACGGGGGAAAGGGAAGTGAGGATGGGCGAAGAATAGGTGTGAGAGAGGAAAGGCTATCGCGAAAAAAAGTGCCAGGATGAAGGGTATTCTCACCAGAATGACGGTGCGAGCATCGGAGTACAAGGCCCGGGCTATGGCTACTCTCTGCCGCTGACCACCTGACAGGTTGATGCCCCTCTCTCCTATCTCCGTCTGGTCCCTGTCAACAGGGAAGATTATAATGATGGTGAGGATAATGATGATGACGATGATGATGGTCATGATAATAATGGTAAAGATGGTGATAAATTTAATAATAATGAGACCAATGATTAAGATGAAAATCCAACAAAAATTTTATTTTTTAAAGCCAGTCTTGAAATACAATAATGACATGTGAGTTTTGAAAAATCTGAAAATTCTCTGAAGCATTCTCTTTGCCTTCTGAAGGAATTTTGTTTACAAAATAATGGAAGCTGCAGTTAAGACGATATTATTTTGTTTTGTGTGTTGGTCCTTAAAATCTAGAGTGAATGGAAAATAGAATGAACATATCTCTATGTAGATAACATAAGAACACAAGAAAGAAGGAACACTGCAGCAGGCCTGTTGGCCCAAACAGGGCAGGTCCGATATTCCGACTTCTTGCAGAACAAACTAGAAAGATAGAGATAGTTGCTACAGCATTCTTCCTTCACCCAGCAGGCAGGATCCCTGACTCACCCAGCAGGCAGGATCCCTGAGTCACCCAACAGGCAGGATCCCTGACTCACCCAGCAGACAGGATCCCTGATTCACCCAGCAGGCAGGATCCCTGACTCACCCAGCAGGCAGGATCTCTATGTCAGGTGTGAGAGCACAGGCTTGAAGGACCCGCTGGTACCGCTTGGCCAAGACGCGTCTCCCAAAAACAACATTGTCCTTCAAGGTGGCATTCATCAGCCAGGGATGCTGCGACACGTACGACACTGACATCTCCCTGTGAAGACCAGGGAGATGATATGCGAAGATACACTTCAGAAGGTAGATGATGTTGAGAATTATTATTATAATTATTATTATTATTATTTATTTATTTTGTTGTTCTTGTTATATCATTATTATTACGCACAAAGAAGCACTAAATTCTTTAAGTTGACGCAGATGCTGGGTAGTATGGGAGACCAGTAACAACCCAGAAAAGTTTCAGAACTCACAGGTGGTCAGTTTATTAGTTCGCTTTGATGGAAATAAATTCAGAAGTCATTAGGTCCAAAATAATGGATAATTTTGTCTGTCTTTGCATATCCTATTTTATCGCAAATCTATTTCACTAAGAGTATCGTAATCCATGGAATTCCTGGAAAACATCTCCACTACAATGCTCTTCTAATCGTGTGTATATACATTCGTATGTAACTATTTCATTCTGTGTCTGCCAGAGTCTGTGTACAATTTATTTGATGAAATTTGTCCTGCATTCCTTATTGTACGTAACATTTCTTCTAATTTCTCTACTTTTCCCAGCATGAGTCATACTCTATGCCACAAATGCTTCATTCCATTTCTTTCCTCTGTTACTATAACCGCGCATCAGAACTGTTCTTTCTTCTATTCCTTTACCTCCGTCACACTGATAACTTGTACTGGATTATGCAGTTCAAGATTTTCCTAAAACTGTAATGAACCAGTAGCCATAAAAACTGTAATAAACGAAAAACATACATATTAACTTGAATGTATCCTAGGAAAATAAACATCTTTATCTACATGTATGCATCCATACCCACCTTGGTTTATCTCTGCTTTCAACTCTCTTTATATCTACTCTTGTTTCCTTCTGCTGGTGTGAGAGTAGCTGTTAATTAAAGCAGCATCAGTTACCCCCCGCCTCACCTACCATTATATGACCCAGCTTCACTTGTTCTGGTCGCAGTTTACCTGATTACTTCTTTGCTGTCCCAGTTAATCGCCCCCACAGCTAGAAGAGCATAATATTAGGTTTTCACTTAGACTTCCGCCAGGAAGCCATCACAACACCTGAAGGGGTTATTTGTCACTTCTCACACGGCTGTTCTTTCTCTTCCCCATCACCATCCCTTCCTCCTACCTCACCTCCTTTCCGTTTCCTATCATCTAACTGACTTCTTCCTCTACCAGGCTTATGGAGCTCCCCCACCATACCTCAGGCATCGTCTCACCCTGACTCACCCGGTCCATCGTAGCTGTCCCCGGAGTGTGTGCATCTCTCCCAGCAGAGCCAGCAGGAGGGAGGTCTTACCGGAGCCCACACCACCCACCACCACTGTCAGTCCACCTGAAGAAGTATTAATAACGTCTTATTCTCCGACCTCCAACACCTTCTGTAAGTCTAATTAACTATCCGGGAAATATTTATAAAACAAATAAATGTGTTTCCAAGGGAAACTGGACCATTCCTTGAGTAAGGTGTTTGATCAGGCAGATGGTGATGGTCATGTAGGCCTACGGGCTGAAAGCAGCAGCTGTCTGACTGATCAAGTCAGCATAAGAAAAAAGCCTGACTTCAAGCCGGGTTACATGGTTTAAAAACAGAACTCCAATTCAGTCACAGGTACGTAATGGAATTTTTCTGGAGCTCCAGAATAAATAAAAATTAGGTAAACAAGAGGGACTTACCTGCAGGTACTTCACTGGTAATGTTCTCCAGAACAGAGAGGCGGCCCTGGTGCTCCCAGGTGAAGGTGCCACTCTGCACGCTGACCGCCACCTCGTGGCCCTCTGACGTCAGCCTGGCACCACCTGGTTACCATGACAATTGAAACTGTTGTTGCATGGTTATTGTTTTTATGTTTTTGGTTGAATTTTCATATGTTAGTGTTTTGCTCCTGTGTATCTTAATATGTCACATAATTTTTGCAAAATTTCTGTTGTGTCGTCAGTGATTTAGAGGAGATACTTTGTTTATCAAGAGACATTGGACACTACCTCCTGATGCGGCTCTTAAGTCACATAATAATCTACTTAGCAGAGCTTCTGGTCATTTGGTTGAAGTTTTTTTGTAAGCTTTCTGGTCAACCTTGTAAACAATAAACTTCACATCTTAAGTTATACCATTTAAATGTTACCTAAACAGTTTAAAACAAAGGAACACTTTCTCGTGTTCTAATCTTCTGTTGTAGAGTAAATAACGCTCAGATGCGCTAAATACCTCAATTAACAACTAACATTTCGCCCACACACTGAGCATTATCAAGTCAGATTAATACAATAATGCCACTGTGTTGGAGAAACTCTCTCGTTAACAAAGGTGTCAGGTGCATCTGAGTGCTGTTTACTTCACCAGGTTGACATTTACATACTGTTGCAGTTGTATTCTCTTGTGATATATATATATATATATATATATATATATATATATATATATATGCTTGCTTAGAATTCGCAAGAACAGACGAAATATTGACACACTCTGGCCGAAAGAGTCTCGAACCTACGAACCTTGCAACAAGGTACGCAGTGCTTTACCGACCGTACCACACTGGACCAATACCTTGGCGTCCAGCTCACGCTAGAAGTTTTGAGCCAAGGCAGCCAGCTTCTAGGCAGGGGATGAGATGAAGAGTTGTAAGAAACCTACCTAGAAGCTGGCTGCCTTGGATCAAAACGTCTAGCGGAGCTGGACGCCAAGGTATTGGTCCAGTGTAGTACGGTCGGTAAAGCACTGCGTACCTTGTTGCAAAGTTCGTAGTTTCGTGTCCCCTGAAGCCGTATGTATATATATATATTATATATATATATATAATATATATATATATATAATATATATATATATATATATATATATATATATATATATATATATATATATTATATATATATAATTTATAATATATATATATATATATATATATATATATATATATATATATATATATATATATATATATATATATATATATATATATATATATATATATATATATATATATATATATAATATGTCGTGCCGAATATGTAAAACTGGTCAATTAGCAAGAACTCATATAAAATTAAGTCCTTTCTGATATTTTCTCTTATACGTTTAAAGATATATTTTTTTCATTAATGTTAATGTAAAAATTTGTTTACAATAATTTAATACTAAACAAACACAGTGAAATATATTTTTTTCATTAGGTTCAGAATGATTTTGGCGAAATTATTGCATACACAAATTTTCGCTTGTCCTATATGGCAAGATGAGCGTTGCTATTTAAGCCAAGATCGCAAGTTCTGCCTATTCGGCACGACATATATATATATATATATATATATATATATATATATATATATAATTTTATATAATATATATATATATATATATATATATATATATATATATATATATATATATATATGCATGCTTAGAATTCGCAAGAACAGGCGAAATATGAATTTGGTTGGGTATGTAAAAGAATAAAATTAAAAGTGAATACAGGAAAGAGTAAGGTTATGAGGATAACAAAAAGATTAGGTGATGAAAGATTGGATATCAGATTGGAGGGAGAGAGTATGGAGGAGATGAATGTATTCAGATATTTGGGAGTGGACGTGTCAGCGGATGGGTCTATGAAAGATGAGGTTAATCATAGAATTGATGAGGGGAAAAGGGTGAGTGGTGCACTTAGGAGTCTGTGGAGACAAAGAACTTTGTCCTTGGAGGCAAAGAGGGGAATGTATGAGAGTATAGTTTTAACAACGCTCTTATATGGGTGTGAAGCATGGGTGATGAATGTTGCAGCGAGGAGAAGGCTGGAGGCAGAGGAGATGTCATGTCTGAGGGCAATGTGTGGTGTGAATATAATGCAGAGAATTCGTAGTTTGGAAGTTAGGAGGAGGTGCGGGATTGCCAAAACTGTTGTCCAGAGGGCTGAGGAAGGGTTGTTGAGGTGGTTCGGACATGTAGAGAGAATGGAGCGAAGCAGAATGACTTCAAGAGTGTATCAGTCTGAAGTGGAAGGAAGGCGGGGTAGGGGTCGGCCTAGGAAAACTTGTAGGGAGGGGGTAAAGGAGGTTTTGTGTTTGAGGGGCTTGGACTTCCAGCGGGCATGCGTGAGCGTGTTTGATAGGAGTGAATGGAGACAAATGGTTTTTAATACTTGACGTGCTGTTGGAGTGTGAGCAAAGTAACATTTATGAAGGGATTCAGGGAAACCGGCAGGCCGGACTTGAGTCCTGGAGATGGGAAGTACAGTGCCTGCACTCTGAAGGAGGGGTGTTAATGTTGCAGTTTAAAAACTGTAGTGTAAAGCACCCTTCTGGAAAGACAGTGATGGAGTGAATGATGGTGAAAGTTTTTCTTTTTCGGGCCACTCTGCCTTGGTGGGAATCGGCCAGTGTGCTAATAATATATATATATATATATATATATATATATATATATATATATATATATATATATA